TGTCCTGTATTTTGGTAATAATCACCCAAGGAACCCAAACGGTGTTACAGATGCATGCCTTCATGCCATTAACAAAACTCTAGGCAGTGACAAAAGAGCTCTACGACGAGAGCTTTAGGCAGGCTGTGCGAGGAGGTGGTGGCAAATACTCACCCTCCTTGGCAAAAGAGCTAATCTCCCATTTTGTGAGCACCAGGTTGAACAAAAAAAAAGAACCCACAAAAACATCTGTCAGTGCACCCTGTTCATACAGCATGTTTTTGCTATGGCATCATCTCTTCTAAGGATATCTCTTCTCTAAAAGTACTCCAGTATCTTTACAATAGTCTTAAGTGCTGTGTTTTTTACACGATGGTCAACATTTTCCTTAGTCCCCAGCTCCTGGAGAGGGTGGGATTGGAGAGCTCAACTTTCACTTAAAAACCTTTTCTGGAGAGAAAGCAACAATGTGATCTGTATTTACCCAAAAAGATAAAAAGCAGAAGGCAAATATGACACCCAGCCTCCACAAAAATTTTGAAAAAGCCAGAATGCCACTGAAGGGGGTTAATCTTTAAGATTTTCTTCTGTGAGAGGTTGGGGAGCTAACTCAGGGCTTTTGACGTTGGGATTGGCAACACAAAGCACTAGACTTGGCTGCTATTAATAGCCACCTCCAGCTTTACCAGAGAAGGTCGATCACGGGGTTGCCCTCACCTTGTCTTTGATGCCTTAAACCAACGATAATGCCTGGAGCAATCCTTGTGTCTACCACCTTGCAGAAAAGCTGTGTCACCCAGGTGCTCACGAGAAGGCGCCTTCCCTAAACCGTAAAGTCACACAAAGGTGAAGCCAGACACACTTGGCTCATACCACAGCACTCGCTGTTTGTGTGTGCGTGCATTGCAGCGGTTTAATAAAGGCTCTAGATAAAGCCAGAGAGCAGTGTTTGCTGCATTTCCTACACAGCATGCCTTCTTAGTTTGCAAGGGCAGCTAGGCTGTGAGATTTCTTACCACCTTAGTTGTCATGTATCCTCATCATGGTTTATATCACTGCCTCTGATTCACTTAAAGATTTTGAGTTACAGGTATCTACAGTGAATATTTAGGCACCACTGACATCACCAAAGATATCATTCAAGTATTGCTTAATACAACAAAGTCCCATACTTGCCTACATTTCTGTCAGTAGGCGTAAGAAGAGCCATCTCAGTCTGCATGGTGCTAAGCTCCTTTGCATAGGGTATCCTCTTGCCTGCCTAGCAAATACCCCAACCTAGCAGATGTCTGCTGGATATAGTGTTTCAGGCTTTGGAGGGGTATAGGACCTACAGTGGCTAGAACAGTTAGCTGGCATGCAAGAAAAGCCAGGTTCAAATCCCTAGATCCCTCAACTGCCTCATTCGGAACAGGAAACAATCCAAATTTTCCATTTCAGTGCTGTGCATAAAAGGTATATAAAGCAGAACCACTGCAGTAGCAGATGTTCCCGGACATCAGGATGCAGACCATTGTATGTGGCAGACTCCTGCAGAGAGCAGGGGACCACATGGAGTCAAGCCCACCTCTCCTTCATGGATCTGTTCCTGACCTAGGGAAAAAAATGAGTTCCCATTGGTATCCCCCCATTTGCATTCCACATGCCACACTGGAAGTAGGAAACAAAACCAGCAAGGAGTTGCACAAAGCCCACAGGAACAATCGCGGAAGTGGCCAAACCTAGAAACATGGGGCACATTCAACCAGCTGCCTGTCACTTTGACTGTGCCTCCTCTGCACTGCCCTGAGTGGCTGGTGGGTTCTCCGCTAGCATCTCTTACCTGTGGATTTGGGACCTTTTTCTCCCTTTCCATACTTAGCTTAGTGCTCTCCTGCTCCATAAAGTTTCTGGAGCTTTCCTGGCATCTTATTTGGCTTACTGTCTTATTAATAAGTGCAAATATAGTCTCAATTATTTAATACTCACTAAGACTCTCCTTGAGAGAGAGACTGTCACTTCGTTTGTGTGCTGTTCTTGCCTATCTGCCTGCCTCTTGCACACCACACCTGAAGCTGTGAAGTGAGCATCTACCTTCAAGTCTATGGGAGTGTACTGAAAAACAGCCCTTTCCTCATTGGAGCAAGTCTCTCCCACTACCACTTTTCAGATCTGTCAAGGGAAGCAGCCAGATTGAAGTTTGGCACAAGTCTGCCAAAAGTGTCCTTGGAGGAGAAAGAGGAAGGGAAGATTATCATGAAATTGAGTAGCAAACATGCTGACTCCACCAAGAAATCTCTTTGCAGCCCCTCATTTCTGCCACCCCAGGCAGGGAAACACATCACTCATGGATCTGCACAGACAAAAGCTTTTTGTTTTGGCAGCTCTGCAGTGGAGTAAGTCATGGGCCACAGGAGAAAACTTCCCTGTTGGTTGATTAGGAAGGACTGCAGTTGTTCCAATCCAAGAAGATCTCCAAACTCCACCTCACAACCTATCATGCTAGGGATCATGCAGCACGGCTAGTTCCTGCCTCCCTTCTGGAGTTAACACCATCCTTGGCAAAAGCATCACAGCCACAGATTAACAAACAAGCAAGGCACTCAGCTTCAATGCTCTCTGCTTGCTTCTCGCCCTTCATTCACACTACAACATCCCAGCCGTGAACTTTTATCCCTGAGCTTGTTTTAGATTGTGAGCTTTTTTAGCAGATAAGTCATAAACAGTAACTCTACTTTTAGGAGAGTGGAATCTATTGAGTTATTCCCCTCATTGCTTCACTGTAGTTCACTTTCTGCCAACCTTCTGTCTCCTGAAATGCATATATTGGTAGCACACCCTTCACCTGTAGGAAGGAGAGAAAGGAGAATCAAATTTTAAGAGACTGAGACCTACAATGCGATGAGAAGATCCAAGACCTCTGTTTGTGCCTACATAGTATCTTACTAGCCTCTTTTGGCACATGCCGCTCTTCCAGCATTTTATGAGAGCCAAAAGAAACCCAGCCCTGCAACAGCTATGGCAAAGATAAGGGAAATGTTTGTTTTTAGGAGAAGGCTCCAGCGTGCTTACTACCATTTCTACCTCCCCTTGGTTACTTACTGGAGCAACAGGCACTGTGGCCACGAGCCAGGGACTAGCAAATTTGTGCAACATTATGTATTCATGGACAGCAGGATGTTCTTATCTCATGCTTTAGCCACCCCACAAGAAACTGCAGTAGGCCTAACTTGCTCTGGGGAATGGCAGGAGTGGCAAGTCCCCTTTGCAGTGGGAACCTCGGCTCTCAGAGACTGGGATAGCAATATCTGGTGCTAACACAGGCTACTCTGCTGGACTGACTTGCTTTAATGTGCTGCAGAAGGGAGCTACAGGATTCTTGTACCGTTCTTAAGAAATAAATCCTGGCACCATCTGTAGATGGCTAAACTCAGTCCTCGTGACCTTAAAGCACAGTGAAATCAGCTTCACGTTCAGATTAAAACTGCTGCTACAACAAATAGCATGATACTGGTTTGGTTAGATATACAGTAATAAAAATCCCAAGTCATAGTTTTTGGTTTAACGCAAAGCTGCTCTGTCTTTTACAGTAACTTCCCAAATTGGCACCAGAGGGACCTACAGCTAAATGTAGAGGTGGACTTCTTGGGAGAGATTGAAGTAAAGTGAAGGCATGGACAGTCAGGGCCCTTCACAGCATTCCCTCCACTTCCACGCACGCCTGTACACATTTTTATTGCACTAGCTTAGTCATCATGGATTTAAAAAAAAAGACAATAAAACAAAGGCTGCCTGGGCCAGTAGTACAATTTTGTTAATTAATGCCAGCCAGCAGCAGCGGCAACAACTTGGTGTTCAGCTTTGCTGACTGCTCTTACAATAAACCAAAGCCTTCATTCCAGCAAAAAGGCTACCACAGATCTCTGCCATAAAAGGAGTAGAGTGCTCTTAAAGTCTAACTGATGTGGATGACAAACGAAAGGATATCTAAATAAGAAACAGCTCACTTGGCTGATTTCCTATGCTGGCCCGTACTGCTACTGAAAAAAGGCCCTCTTAACAACCCAGAAATACAGAGGAAAATAAAGAACAGCTGAGTATCTTTTCTTAGATGGCTAGTTTTCACATTCCCATTCAGGCCAGTCTATGTGGCTGTTGGCTCCGTCCTTGGCATGAAACTGGCCCTGCAGTACCAAACCAGAGATGAGAGGCAGGTGTGGGCTTAGGGCTGCTAAACCTGCAGCTTCAAAACCGCACACACAAACACAAACTTTGCACCTTGCTAAATAGCAGACTGTTATTCCAGCCAAGAAAATTTAAAAGTAAAATCCATAAGCTACTGCCCTGCTAATTGCAAACTGGTACGCATCAGCAAACCAAGTACAGCCTCAGTGTAATTAAAATGGAATAACGTCTAGTTCTTCAGAGCCAAGATCTAACTAATAAGCTTGTTTTAGAAATCAATTAAATTTATAATAGAGCAGCAGCCAGCAGCCAGCAGCCTCCAGCGTGAGGAAGGCTAGCACTCCTTGTTTGTTCACAAAACAGGAACAGGAGCAGCCATAGTCCAGCACAGGGAAAAAGACCGTTACTGCTGTGAGCTCTAGTAGGGCCTTTCCTATGTTATGAACCTGTAGCAGGATTAGGGCTTCTCAGCCTTAAATTACTACTGCTTCTCCTTGACCTCTGTGCATCAAGTTTTGTCATAGCCTTCAGCAATTTAATGTATGATATTTTGGATTATGACCATTGTTTTACAATATTTTTCCATAAGAAAAAGGTGTCGGGGCAGAGAAGCAAGGACAGGCACAGCACTTTTTGAACTTTTGGGTAAGCACTTGCCTCTCTCCCAAATTCATCCTCCCTTTGGGGACATCTGAAGTGATCAGAAAGTGCGTATGCTCTTCTCAAAAACTGACAAGACTTGAAGTCTAGACATATATCAGGTATTCAAGGGAAACAAAGCTGACTCACTTCCGTCTTCTCTGTCTTTTGCCTCACACATACACGTCCAAACCAGAGGCAGAGTCTGCTATGCATAATGAGTTGAAAGTTTAAGGTTTATTAAAAATGCTCATCTTTTATGGCATTGCATATTTTGCATATCCAGTTCAAATGCTTTTTATCACTTTCATTCAAATTCATGATTTGTGAATAAGTTTTCATGCAGTCTTTGCAGTTAACGTACTTGTACACATAGAACAAGTACCTGCAATGGAAGGACATCTTACTAAGAGGTAGAGAGTATTTTCAGGAAACATTAAGTTTGCACTGGAAAATCATGTATTAAGAAGCAACATTATGATTTTACAGCTTCAGCAGACGTTCCAAGTTCTTTCTCTCTCCGTTGGGGATTCCTAGAAGTTGGAAATCCAGTAGTCACCAGGCAAATGGGCCACAAATGCCCCTGTAGCAAAACGCACTGCACAAAACAGCCTCAAAATAGTGAATAGTTTCACTGGCATACATTGCTACTCTAAATGATGCACTGTTATTCCTTCCTCTGCCCCATGTTCAGATTCAAGAACTCTAACCAGATCATTTGTTTTCAGTAGTTGAAGGTGCAGCTCTGTTTTCTGAGAAATCCCTGAGATTACACATAGCATGGAGTTTCTTTTGAATATGGACGAAAACTAACACAGAAAGATAAATTCTAAATTTCTTGGACTACAAAGCTTGCACAGCGCTCATATCTTCCAGATTAATGGACAAAACAGTGCTGTAGAAGCCAACACCTATTGCACTATGGTTTGAAGGGGAGTATCTATACATGGATCAAGTCTATTTTCTTGGGAGAACAGAGAAGGCATTGAAGTAATAGCCCTTATCCTCCTTACACGGTCCCTTCCAGAAAAATAAAATGGCATCAGTCCTTTGGAAAATCTAAACAGAGAAAGAGAGAAAGAGAGAGAAAACTGATAGGTGTACTGTGTGTAGGTGCACCTCCTATTAAGGGACAGTGGGACTGATAGCAGATGACACCACTATGAACCACACAAAGCTGGCAGCACCCATCGTAGTTGCTTGTTGGTTGATCACAGTCCAATGATTCTTAACTGCACACTTTGATATTTTCCTCCCATTTGCCCAGCCATCCATAAGAGTAGTGGGAAGCATCTGTACTCAGAAAGGTAGTGACCTGAAGTCACTATCCATGGGGCTGAATGCTCCATGAGGAGTTGAAAGTGCCTTTGTCTACACTTCTACATCAATACCAATTTCAAGGATATGAAATAGTTTCCATCAGAGTTGGCCAAGCAACATTGCAACCTTCCTTGGAAATAAAAATAAATAGCAAGTAATCATTCTGGCACTGGGTTGTGGTAAGATCCAGCATATTCCTTCCCTGAAGGCTTTATGTAACCTGAAGAATCAATGCAGTCATGATTATTCAATTTCTTCCTGATCCAGTAAAGTCAAAGCCTTCTCCTGTAACAGAGGAAGATAAGTTACAATTATAGAAGCAATGAGGAACCTCAGCATATTTTCAAATCTGCAGTCAGCAGGTTTTCCAGTAGGATTTCATGATGACATCACTGGATATCCTCATATTCTATCTGTTTCAATGGACATACATATACTTTACAGATACTGAATGTTTTTCATTCACTTCATGAAGCACAAAACGACTAGGATTTCCGTTGCAAATGCCTCACCACAAGTCCAGGCAAACGAGCCTTAAAGGGCAGCAGCTCAAGACCACTGCTAGCAAAAGAACACCTTATACAACCAATTCTGGAAAAGGGTCATGAAGACAAACGGATGTCTTCATGTACAGAGGAAGCAGAAGCATACCACAACATAAAGCTGACTTTATGAACTACTAAACTTCATCTTGTCTCCAGAAATGGCCAGCAGCAGACCTCTAGGGAGGAGTATAAGATTAGGGCAAGCATGTAGTAAAGTTTCCTCATGTTTCTCCCAGCCTTCAGCTATCTGTGGTGGGAGATGCTGCCTGGGCCAGGAATAGTTTTGCATTTAATAGCCCTCCATGAATTTCTCCTATTGATTTTTGGGCCTATGCAAATAAAAAGCTTTCAGCACAGAGAACCTCTTGCAGTAAAGAATTTCACAGCATAAGCACACACTGTGTTAAAGAATACCTTTTTGGTTTGGTTTGCCTCTGGCTCATTCTAGTTTTGTGAAAGTAGGCTACTCCTAGGTGCCTTAGGCTATAAGTCAAAGGAGGACAACTCATACCCAGCCACCCTGGTTCTGAATCCAAGGTGTGAAGTGTTCTCTGAGGTATTTTATTCCAAAGCCCAGGACCATGTTCATGGGATGGTTGTCCACAGCAGTAAGTCTGGTGGCAACTTCCAATGTAAAGGCGACTTTGGTGCATTGTATTTGGCCTTCTGTCTTGCTTGTTGAGTCTGCTGAGACATCCTCCAGGATTAGGTCAGTGACCCTCTTGAAGAAGGTGTAGGACAGCATGTCTATAAAATGCTGATAGAACGTCTTGTCCTTTTTGATCTGAAAATAAGAATAAGGATTGGTTAAACTTTTGTGATACTTGCTTTCCCCATCTCATTGGGACAGTGGAGCATCTCTCAGTAGTATATAGAGAGACTATAGTCTAATCATGATCCCGATTGCAAGAGAAGACACACAAAACCCACACTTCACCGCAAGGCTGTTCCTTCAGGCTCAGGAGATGTTTTTGGGGGGGATCTCCTCTAAAAGCTCTTCAGGTTTTTTTGCATTTGAATGAGAGAAGCAGAGAGAGAAAAAAAGCAAACCAAGTGTGACACTTGCATCTAGGCCTGCAGGTTAGGAGACATGGTAATACAAGAGCACTGGGAGGGTGACACAAGAGGCAAGGCTATGAGAAGGGCCTGTGGCCGCTGCTGAGCTAAGCTCCCTTTGCTCAGTCACAGTCTTTGGAACACTCTTACCATATCTGGGTAACTCTCTGTTTCCATGTCCTCCGTGTGGGAGTACACCTTCACAGAGCAGAAGGGGCAGCTAAAGAAGGGAGCTAAGGGTGCAAGCACCTATATTTCTAATAGAGAAAACCCCCAGCTCTGCTCCAACTAACGGGCTCATGCAGGAGGTTCTTCTATATATTCACTCAAAACAATTATTCCTTTTTCCCTACAACAACTCTCAGAGTTGTAGCGTTTCCCACCCTTCACAGGGAACAACTTGCATGTGAAGTTTAATGCCAAGTCAAGAGTTTCGGTTTGAGTTCTCAGATTCAGTCAAGTGCTCAACTTCCTATGAATGCAATGAACTGCACAACCTCTTTGTTGTCTTTCCCCCACTCTCCAACAGAGATCTGTGCTAGTCTTCTGGTCTTAAGAAAGATTTCAGACTGAATGGCGAAGGTTTCAGACAGGCCCAAGTTTGGAAAGAGAAGTTCAGGATCGAGACAGTGAGAGCTGGGTTACAAAACGCTTGCTCCCAACAAATGTTTCATCTCTCTCTTTCACACATGTGTGTGTATGCCCACACATACTCAAGCCTGTCTAGCTGCTGAAAACATAAGTACTTACCTTTTCTTCCAGTTGGTCCCCTGATTGTCTTAACAGTGCAACTATTGTTTGTATTATCTTTTCTTCATCTGTTAAAAGAAAGAACAGCAACATAAACACTGCAGCCTGGACAGTAGGTCCAGACAGCAAGCTACAGCGAAAGCCTTGGTGCCAATTAATCATGAAAACAGCTGCTATTTTGTGAAAAAAATCACAAGGCATTCTGCATCCAGGCTTTAGGCAGAAGCTCACTGTTCAAGTCTGCATGGAATAAGTAGCGCTATTTCTCTATCTGCACAACG